ACTCTCAATCACCGCAACCTAATACCACAAGCCATCACCATCGAGCCTAGCAGAGGCAGTAGTAGTAGTAGTAGTAGTAGTAGTAGTAGTAGTAGTAGTAGTAGTAGTAGTAGTAGTAGTAGCAGTAGTAGTAGTAGTAGTAGTAGTAGTAGTAGTAGTAGTAGTAGTAGTAGTAGTAGTAGTAGTAGTAGTAGTAGTAGTAGTAGTAGTAGTAGTAGCAGTAGTAGTATTACCTCAGTAGCAGTGGTGTCCATCCCACAGAAAGCAGCCCAATCATTGGCGACCATACCAGCACCGACCGAGTCAGACCCTCGGTTAACCGTACCAGCAGTCAAAGGCACCTATGAGGCCTCTACCCATCGACTCCTACTGCCAAAGACATAACTCACCTGTAGAAGCTGACTGAGTTCATCCATCTCCTCTACAGTCGTCTTAGGGTGTACCAGCCCTCCCTGGTTAGTGAGAGTGAGGTATGTGCCGACCAGCACGTTACCAGCTACAGCACCACGGAATACTTCAACCTACAATAGCATATCAAAACTCCCACAGAGGACATCAACACTACCTTTAACACGTCTTGGATGATCTCCTCAGTTTCCCTATCAAGATCAGGGTGGACCAAGGCGACGTAGTCGTTACAAACAATACAGTTGCCGAGGGCAGACAGCCGCTCCTCCACTCGTTGAATCTGTCAACCATCCCACTGACGCTCCCCCACAGCTCTCCTACTTACCTTAACATTCTCAGGCAATGCGTTCCTCAAATGCTGCAGCTCATTATCAGTAGTAATGCTAGGCACCAGCAGACCATGTCGGTTACCAACACATACTCGCCCAGGTATCCTGGTCCCTCCGATGGTGGCGTGAACGACCGGTATATGGGGCTTCAACTCGCTCTCAAAGGCCGAGTAGAAGTTCTCACTGCCCCCTAGGGCCACGATACAGTAGGAGTTCGTGAGCATGGCAAAGACGCCCACTTCGTTTGAGTTCTCAAAGGCACACCTCACAGCCATTCTTCAATGATAAACAGTGATGACTCAACTAACAA